CACATGCTTTTGCACTCGCTCACCAACACACATGCTTTTGCACTCGCTCACCAACACACAACCACACATACATACACACATAACCTTTGATCGACAGGCGACGTACATCTTTGACAACGAGGCGACGATTGCGTTTGCGTTCTTCATGAGTCTGTGGGCCACCGTGTTCACGGAGTACTGGAAGCGCTCACAGGCAGAGGTGCGGCAATGCCCTCATGCGTGCATCTCCATAATCTGCATCTGTGTACCTGCCCCTGTGTCTCCTTGCGTTTGCCGTGAGGTTGGGGGCGCTTTGAATAGAAATCCACAAGACACAGCCACAATCATTTGCAAACACTCACACATGCGCTTACTCGCACGCCTGCTGAGCACATAGCCTCACTCACAATCACTCACTCACTCAATCACTCACTCACTCAATCACTCACTCACTCACTCACTCACTCAATCACTCACTCACTCACTCGAATTGCACGTGCAGCTGTCGTTTGACTGGAACATGGTCGATCACGACGACTTTGAGCCGCTGCGCCCGCAGTTCCGCGCATCCACAACGAGGAAGAACCTCATCACAGACCAGAACGAGCCGGTACAGCGGTGGTGATGTGGCGGTGGTTTGGCGGTTTGGGTGTGGGTGTGGATGCTGTTCTTCATCGTTGCTGGTGCATGTCGGCTCACGTTCAAACACATGTGTACACACACCAACGCACAACCGCACAAATCGACTGTGTGCAGCACTACCCGGCGTACCGACGCTATCTGAAGTACATCCTGACTGCATCGACAGTGCTGACGGTATGCGCAACGGTGATCATCATCCTCATTTCGACGATTGTGTATCGCATTGCGGTGTACACGGCGTATGTGACGCGGCAACCGGACCAGCAGGACCAGGCCTCACTCATCGCGTCCGGCACGGCTGCCGTCATCAACCTCATCCTTATCATCACGCTCAGCTTCGTCAGTTGCCCATGGGTTGTGTTGTGCTGTGTTGTGTTGTGCTGTGTTGTGTTGTGTGCTTGTGCTTCGGATGGCCCACTTGCTCTTGTGGCGCACCTCTCCTCGTCACCAAGTAACAAGGCAATCACATGATACAATACGCACGCACGCTCACACGCACTCACATGCATTCACACACGCACGCACACACATTCACACGCTCACACGCACACACATTGATACAGTTTTACCGGTACCTGGCTGTGTGGCTGACGGATTGGGAGAACCACAAGACGACGTCCAAATATGAGCAGCATCTCACCATCAAGATTTTCACCTTTCAGTTTTTCAACTCCTTTGGCTCTCTCTTCTATATTGCATTCTTCCAGGTACATGCTGGCGGTCGTGATGATGTTCCTTTTGTGTGATGTGTGTGTGATGTGTGTGTGTGTGTGTGCCCATGCGTTATCAGGCCAACCCATGTGTGTGTGCTGTCATGTTTACATGCTGCGTAACACGCGCGCTTTGTTCACTCATCCCTCTTCTTTCTGTCTCTGTCGACAGCACCAAGACATTGGTGTCCCTGGCGACTACGACACGTTCTTTGGCTACCAGTCTGATTCGTGGTGCGATATGCTGCTCTGACGTGCCTGGTGCTGCTGTGTCATGGGATTGACCCGTGTCTGTCTGCTTCCTGCCACAGTTGCGTGGCGAACACACACACACATGTGCGCAACACTGACACACTAACACATGTACATGCACGCGCGCACACACCATATCACGTGCACACCACCACGTGACCACCACCACATGCAGCCCGGCGTACGGGTGCCTCCTCGAGCTGACGATCCAACTTGCTGTCATCATGGTTGGACGGCAGGCATTCAACAACGTCCTAGAGGTGTGTGTGTGTGTGTGTGTGTGTGTGTGTGTGTGTGTGTGTGTGTGTGTAGTACGTAACTTCACCTATACGCCCTGCAATCCCGCGCTAAGCTAACTGAGTAGTAGCCGGCTTGACCCATAGACACAAGTTAATCGTGTTGGGGCGACAGGTCGATGAAGTTGCAGGTTAAACTCTGCGAAAGCTTGACATCTATAGCTTTAGCCTACAGCTATGGCCATCGCGCCAGCGACGGCTGCTCCGACCACCACCGATCGTCCATGTGTTACAAATAATTTTTCACACTTATCTAAGAGCGTAATTTCATTCGCCGCAAACCGAATGACGACTACGTTCGACATTACCGTCAAGGTGTTTTTAACCAAGACACTCGGGTCGGGCAGTGTTGGGGAATTGCGGGGATGATCGACTCCGTTCCACCGACACCACCACCACCACCACACACACACACACACACACACACACACACACACACACACACACCACCACCACCACCACCACCACCACCACCACCACTAGATTGGCCTGCCGCTGCTGAAGGCGTGGTGGCGGAAGTGCCGCCTGCGACTGAAGACGACGCAGCACAACGACCTTCTGCCGTGGGAGGAGGACGTACGTGCGCACTTCATGGGAGAGAGCTGCGATGGGTTCCTGCTTTGGCCTGTTCAAACGCACGCACGTGCACCTGCGCACTGACACACACGCGTACACACACGCGTACATATACGCATGTATTCATTCGCACACGGCCCACACTGACCACAACTCACGTGCTCTGCCCCCCCCCCACAACAAACACACACCCCGCCACCACTTCAACCACTTTCATCACTTCCGCCATTTTGTCGCTGGCAGTATCTGCTGCTGGATGCGTATCCGCGCCTGGGACTGTTCGACGACTATCTCGAGATGTGCATGCAGTATGGCTTCATCACTCTCTTCGTCGCGTGAGTAACACACGCTCATGCACACTCGCATGCACATTCACGTGTGCACATTCACGTGTGCGCGCAAACACACACGCACGCACATATACACGCATGCATGTACGCACCGCTCCGGTTGGCTCTTGCTTACATGCTTGCTGTCGTTTTGCCCTCTCACTGTGGCTTTCTCTGCCCATTTACACGGACACACGTGCACACGGGCATAGTTCGTTCCCGCTCGCGCCCTTCTTCGCCCTCATCAACAACATCTTCGAGATTCGTGTGGATGCGTCCAAGTTTGTGAGTCGTGCCCGCCGCCATCACGACCGTGCTTTCAAACATACAGCCCAAGCCCTAATGTTCACACACACACACACACACACACACACACACACACACACACACACACACACACACATTGCACACTACAAACGCTGCACACAACCCTCACACGCTGCACGCAAATGCACACTATCGCACAACCCCTTGTCTCATTCCCCTCTTCTCTTCTCTTCTCTTCTCACCCAACTCCAGATTGGGCTGTGGCGCCGTCCAATTGCGGAGCGCGCCGCTGGTCTCGGCCTCTGGCGTCAGGTCCTTGAATTCCTCACCCTTGCCAGCGTCATCACAAACGGTCCGTGCCGCGTGCTCGGTGTCTGTGTGTGTGTGTGTGTGTGTGTGTGTGTGTGTGTGTGTATGTATGTGTGTGTGTGTCTGTGGGTGTGTCTGTGTGTGTTTGTGTCTGGTCGTGTGACTGATTTTTGTCATTGTCAGAACGATGTCATTCATTCCTCCTTCCCCACATTCACATCTGTCCATCCATCCGTTCTTTGTTCCTCCCCCCTCCCACACCCAACAACACACATGCCACACCCCCACCCCCCACAGGAATGGTGATCTCGTTTACGTCAAACTTTGTCGACAAGCTCGTATATCGCGAGTCGCGCGGGTCTCTGGACGGGTTCTATCTCGCCATCACTGCAGAGTCACCGTACGACGGGCCCCTCGATATCTACGTGAGGATTCGGGAGAGGGAGGATGGGATGGAGATGGGGTGGGCATGGAGGAATGGGTGGAGAGTGGCAGAGACGCACATCCACACGTGTGTTCAGGAGTTCAAATGTTGCACTGGTGCGCTTACACACGCACATGTTCACACTCAGTTACCCTCACCATTAATCTCAACTCTTGCGCGACTGTCGCGCGACTGCGTTATTTTCATTTTAACATGCGTCTCGCGTGCAGCGCAACTGCCGGTATTTTGGCGTTCGTGATGCTGATGGCGAGTACAAGAAGTTGTTCTACGAGATTCTCATGGGCAAACTTGCATTCTTCATCGTCTTTGAGGTGCGAAGAACAAAGTCAATTTGTTGGTTGCTGACGTGTGGTGGCGTACGTTCGCGTTTGATGCATCTCTTGCTGCATTTGCTTCAGATTGATACCCACAGCCCACTCAGCTCCCTAAATCACCTCTCACACCTCGTACATGTGTGTGCGTTCCTGTGCGTCTGTGTGTTGTTCTTCGCATGCGTTTCCCGCCCACAGCACGTTGTGTTCTTGACCAAGTTCCTCGCGCAAGTCATCATCCCCGATGAACCCAGATGTACGTATTACCTGCATGCGTCCACCACGCACGAGCAGAGTGGAGACATGGATTGTGTTGTGAGTCTGTCTGCGAAGGTGTGCGTGCGCGTGCGCTTGTGTGTGTGATGACATTGCGTTGAATGTACAACAACAACAACAACAACAACAACAACAATTTTTGTTTTGGGTCAAATATCACATCATCCCTTGCAGTTGTTGGTTTATTTTTTCTCACAACTCCAACAATACCAACAACCCTTGCGCATCCCACTGCGCACACGTTTGTGTGTGTTTGCATCGTGTCACTCCTTCCCCCTTCACAACCAACCAACCAAACAGGGGTGACCATTGCCCGCAAGCGCGAGGTGTACCAGGCACGAGCCATCATCGAAGGCCTTTCCGACACGCACTACCTCAATGCCGAGGAGAACGAAATCACCAACCAGGGCCTGGACGCCGACTCAATCGCATCCACAGAGGAGGTGCGACACCTTGCTCGTGTGTGTGTGTGTGTGTGTGTGCACGCGTGTGTGTGATAACCGAGATTCGGTGCAATGTCTGATGCCGTTGTTGTCGTTTTGCTGAGGTATCATGAAGCTCATACACACACACACACTCTCTCTCTCTCTCACACACACACACACATACACACACACACTCATCACAAACGCTTGTGTATCAACGCATCTCAGCGTGACGGTGCGGAATTGCGGCGGCGGCGACCACAGCAGCAGCAGCAGCAGCAATCTACGGATGAGAGCATCATCTGAGCCGGGCACCAGCTGTTGTTTTGCCGTGCCAACATAGGCAGCCAACCTGCCGTGCACACGCAGCAGTCGTGTTTGTTGTTTGTTGTACTGTGTTGTGGCTTGAAGGGTCACGTATTGATGCTTCCTTTCCAAGTATGTGCGTAGTGGACGCTGTTTGCACGACTTACATACGGTCGATTCGTCTTATTTACACGCTTCACGCTACAACACTTGTTCACACTCCAATAACAAGGTCACTTAGAAACAGCCAACATGCACAAAGTCAGCACAGCCACACGCATTCCTTCCTTCCGCAACACGCACGCACACACATCCATGCAAGCACATGCACGCAAAATACACACATGTTCACAAACGTCCATCCATCCGTCCAAAACATCCGCGCACGCATCACAGCTGCTTGGCGCGTTTGGCGGTGCCTTGTGCGCCTTCATCACGGCGAATCGTCGTCGCGTTGATGAAAACGTGCCGGTGGGCGCGGCCGTGGTGTGCAGGCGCAGCAACACGCGTTGTCATCAACAGCTCATCTGCCCCTCGTTTGTGCCGGCGCCGTCCGCCCTCAACCCGACTATCATCACCACCATCACCATCACCACCACCATCACCACCACCATCACCACCACCATCACCATTGGTGTCATTGCTCTCTGCCCTTGCCTCATCTTCATGCCGTTGGGATGTGCTGGTCGCGGGCCGTGTCCTCGGACCACCACCACGATCACCACCACCGCTGCCGCTGCTGCCGCCACCACTGCTAATAACAACAACAGAGCCGTCACGCCGGCGAGCAGCAACAGCTGAGCGGCCGGTGCCAACGAGGGTCGACATGCGACGACACACGTCAAGCCCAAACACCACCTGCCGCGCACCGGTCGTGGGGTCGCTCTTCGCCCGACGCAACACCGTGCTGCCAGATGATGGCGGTGATGATGTGGTTGTGCTGTCACGCGGTCCTTTGCTGGGCGATGCTGTGTCAAGTGCCGAAGTCACCCCGAATACGGCTTCGCGTCCCTGCTTTGCGTTGTTGCCATCGCCTGCAGCTGCACCACCCTTGATGCTGCTGTCCCGCTTCGTGACCTTCCCCTTGCTGTTCTTCTTCTTCGCCGCTGCCGTCAGGGTGTGCGCTGTCGTGGTGCGGGTCTTCACAAAGAGGCTGCCCTCCCTACCGCCACCACCACCGTCATCAGTGGTCATGTCACTGTTGAGTGTGCGCAATTGCTGCCGCTGCCGCTGCCTCATCGCTTCCTTTGCGTGGCGGGACTTGGCACCAAACACGCAGTGGCAGGTCATGATGTGCGAGATGAGCGAGTTTGCACTGGTCACCTCCTGTTTGCACCGATAAAACGGACAGCGCACGCGTGCCGGCTCGCGCGTGGGCGGCAGTGTTGCATCTGTGAACAGCAGCTGGAGTGCGTGCACGTCGTTCATGTGCTCAATGAGCTCATCGGGTGTTGGCACCCACACGTCGCAGCCGCGTTCTGGGCAGTGGAAGGCGAGACGGCGGCGGCCAAACAGCACCTGCTGCTCAATGCCAGCGTCGGGGGCGGGCGAGGGGCGCGGGAGGCGTGAGCTGTCTGTTGGTTCGCACTGCACCAGCACGCCCTGAAACACGTTTCCGTCGTGGTACAGCCGTGCCGTCACCGCAGACCCTTCGCTCAGCACGCTCGTGACCTCAACCGTGGCGGCGCCCAGTGGGGGCGGGTTGGACACGGGCATAGCAGTGATGGGTGTCGCTGTGGTGATGCGATGGGATGCAAGCGTGGTTGGGCCAGCAGCAGCCGGGATTGGAAGAGGCACGGGCGCGTTGAGGTCCAGACCAGCCAGCAGGAACGCGGCGCTCTTTGGATCCTGCATCAAGCTGACAACACTTCCAAAGCGATGGGAGACGTCTGGTGCGGGCGCGCTGCCCGCTTGCTTCGTACGCTGGCTCTTGATGGCGGCGGCGGCGGCGGTGATAGTGGTGGTGGTGGTGTCGTTGCCTGGTGCATTGGCTGCAGAACGGTTGGTGCTGCTGCTGCTGCTGTTGCGACTGCCGTTCATGTGTGCCTGCTGTCGTGCTTTCTTGCTGCTGCTATTGCTCGTGTGACTGGAGACGTGTTTGTCTTTCCGCCCCTTTGCACGCTGCTGCTGGTGCTGCTCTTGCGATGTTCGTGTTTTTGCCTTCTTCGCTGCACGCGGGGACGGGAGCGGCGAGGTGGCGGTGGTTGGTGTTGCAGATGATGAGGATGATGTTGGTGAGGGTGACGGCGATGTTGCCCGCGTTGTCGCTGCAGTCGAGACCGCCGCTGCTTCTGCTGCGTGTGCGTCTGTTGCGTCCATGCATCCTGCTGCTGTTATGAACCTCTGTGGTAGTCCCTCCAGCCGTTGCAGCTCCACGATTGCATCAGCAAGCATTTGCTTCGACAGCGTCTTGCGGATCACAAACCGTGGTTCAGCCTTTGTCTGCTGCTCATGTGAGTGAGTGAGTGTGAGTGCGTGTGTGTGTGTGTGTGTGTGTGTGTGTGTGTGTGTGTGTGTGTGTGTGTGTGTGTGTGTGTGTGTGTGTGTGTGTGTGTGTGTGTGCGTGTATGTGTGATGAAGGGTGAGGTCGAGGCAGAAGGAAAAAGATGAGGTGACAACAGCTTCATGTGTCCGAGATGCAACTCAAGCGGACGTGCTCTGCGGACCTGGTGCTGTGTCTTGAGATGGCTGATCAGAGACTTATGCGACAGGAACTGCGCGCCGCATTTGTCGACACCGCAGACCCACACATGTGCTGTGCCGAGAATTCGCTCACACATGTGACTGCAGTCGAAATCGTGGCGGAGCGGGTGGGGAATGTTGACATGAGCCAATGTAAATAAAAGCATCAACCTTGTCTCAACGATACGCACACAATCGCCGACAACAAGAACACGGTCAAACCACACACACACACACCCTCACACACAGACACACACACACACAGACACACACACACGCACACACACACACACGCCTCATCACAGAATGCACACCATGAACCACACGACACGCATGAGTGTTGCAAACACACACGTGCACGAGTTGGTCCACGTACGCTGTTGGGAGATCTGCGAGGGATGCCGGGATGTGTTTGGCACTCGTGCTGTTGATGACGCAGCGACGGCGCACACTGCACCGGCAGCAATGGGGTGATGATGACGATGATGGTGGTGATGACGATGATGGGAGGTGTGATGATGGTTGTGATGAGATGGTGTTTGGATGGTGGTGATAGGGTAAGCGATGATGGCAACGCGATGTTGAAGGTTTTGAGGAGCAAGGAAACGTCGAGGGAGCGTGCACGTTATGAATTGGAGTCAACGCAACAACTCAAACAACATGCACAGCGAAAGCAACCAGGCCAGGCCAGGCCAAGCCAGACGCATGCCCGCAAGCAAAACATCACTCAGACATGCATTGCCACCTTCGTGGTTTTGGGAGAGGCACCAGCTCAAACATGTCCGAGGTTGCTCCCCACTTGTCCGGCTGACAACACACAGCAGACAGAGGAAAACGTGACAGTGGCAGTGACATGTCAGCAGAGCAAAGAGGCATGTACAGGACCAGGGTGCATGACATGCAGACTCCACATGCATTTGTGTGTGTGTGTGTGCGTGTGCACGTACCTTCTTAGGCTGGAAGTTGCCATCTTCCTTGTCAATCATGAATTCGCACACGTACACGTCCTGCGCATCAAAGCCGGCGGGGTCGCCCACCTGAGAAAAAAAAAGGAACAGTAGAGGTGAGGAGCAGCACACGCTCTCACAAGTGTGCTCACTTGCATACACACACACACACACACACACACACACACACACACATACATACAGACACACACACACACATACACAAGCATGCACACACACACCTACACAAGCATGCACATATACATACACACACGCACCCGAAAGAACTGGACGTCGACGACGCAGCAGAGGGAGAGAATGTGACGGACTGAGATGTCTTTGGTTCCCGGGAGCAGAAACACCTGTACAGCCACCCAATCGCCACCACAGTCGCAAACACGGTGGTGAGTTATCCTAAACGGCAGCTGTGTGTGTGTGTGTGTCTGTGTGTGCACTACGCAAGCAAGTACAGTGTGATGCATCGTGTGCAACTGACCTCGTTTTGGAAGACGCGGCGGCCGGCTGCGTGCTGGATGGCGTTTGCGTACACATATTCGTCAACAATCACACGTGGTTCCGCCTCGGCACCGTCTTGGTAGATCTACGATGAGCACAACAAGACACAAGGTGGTGTGGGTGGTGTGGGTGTCGTATGATGACGTGTGGTTTGCATGCAGAACAGAACAGAAGGAAGCCAACTTCAAAACACCATCGTCATCATCGTCATCATCGTCACCTCGAGAACGCGTCCAATGCGCAGTTCCTCCACGTCCGGCGTCTTCCAATACACAAACGACCCTGACGTACAGTCGCATGTGGTAGTTCGAATGTGTTAATGTGTGTGAACGCAGGAGTGTGTCGATTGCAACAGCGAGTAGTGCATTGTCGCAACACGAACCAAGAAACACACACGCACACACGCACACACGCACGCACGCACACACGCACGCACGCACACACACGCACACACGCACACACGCACACACGCGCAGGTAGTTGCAGCATCAACACATTCACATGTGCATGTGTTGCAGTTTCCGCACCAGCGCTGACGTCGAGCGCGGGCTGATGGAGCACTTTGAAGAAGCGGCGGTGGGGTGCCGCCTCAGACACGACGTCTTTGAGCACAATCGTGTCGGGCAGCTGGTACGTGGCACATGGAGGTGGCGCAATGCAACGGAGGGAGGGCGAAGGAGGGGTGGAACATAGTAGGGCGTGAGTTGAGAAGCGGTCACATGATGCAAGGCAAGCATAAAATCACGTTCACACACATACAAAACAAGACCCCGAGAATAGGATATCATAAGCCCACAACAGAGTGTACAACCACACACATCTGCAGAGCGAAAACAAAGGGTTGTACCGTTCGCGGGGAGCAAACTTCGCATGTGTACTCCAAGGCATCGTCATCCACAACGTCCATGCACACGCAGTGCTGCCAACTGTCGCACGCGTCGCACTTGATCATCTGCCCGTCCTCTGTTTTTGTGTTGAGCGCAACGTACACACACACACACACACACACACACATGTGTACGCATGTATGCATGAGAGAGACCAGAGGCGAGAGGCAATCACCAACTCATGCATGAATCGCGTGTGAATATTGTGAGTGGACCCCGCACACACACATACACACACACATATACACACAACGCACACATACACCCACACATACACAGTGCCGTACCCATGTGCACGCCGCAGCGGCAGCGAATGACGTCACCATCGGTTGCCATCGCCTTCATGATCTGCTTGTAGCCCGCCGCCGTCACGGGCGGTGTGCTCTTCTGCACATCGCGGGTGCACACAGGGAGACAATGGTACGCATGAAGGAATAAGGGCATCTGACAGAGATGTGGGCGAAACCTGCACGCACAGTGTACACGTATCACACTCACACGCACACACACACACACTCTCTCTCTCACTCTCTCTCACTCACTCACACACACACACACACACTCTCTCTCTCTCTCTCTCTCTCACTCACGCACTCACTCACTCAAACACACGAAACCCAGCGCACCTGCGCAATCCGCCCGCGTTCAATGAGCGAAAATCGATGTGCAACCCTCTCCTCTGGCGGTGGCGGCTGCTGCCTGCTCACAGTGCCGTGCTGCTGCTGCTGCCGTTGGCGCAACGTCGTTCCTGTTCCTGTTGTTGATGATGATGTTGTTGTTGCTGCTGCTGCATTTGCTGTTCGTGTGGTGTTGTCGTGATGATGTGGCGTGTTCGCCTGGCGTGTTGTGGTATCTTCCCTTGTATCCTTGCTCTCCCCATCTCCAAAAGCATGTGCAGGGATGGTCGCTCCTGCCGTTGCAGCCTGCATGGTGCCCAACGTTGGGAGGGATAGCAGGCCACCGAGCCCCACCTGCGGTGCGTGCAACATATGTGCCATGGACACTGCTGCTGCTGCTGCTGCTGGCGACGACGATGATGGCGATGATGATTGCGGTGCAAAGAGAGCACGCATGTGTGCATGCGCGTTCGCGTTCGCGTGCGCGTGTGTGGTTGACACGAGTGGAAACGGAACAGCTCCAGCGAAGGTAAAGTGCGTTGGGTGGGCATGTGCCGGCGACACGGGCACGCTGGCGGCGGTGGTGGCGGCGATGCGATGGTGCTGCTGCTGCAAGATGGAAGTGGGGGACAGGAGCGAGGCAAACGGTGGCGAGTGGGCCGTGACCATTGCGGATATGCGATGCATGAAGTCGACTGTTACGGCGATGGCATCACGCTTAGTGGGCGGTGTGGCCAGACCAACAGCAGCGAGGATGTGGTGCAGCTGCTCCAAGGAGAGCTCTTCAAGGTGGCCGGGGTTGGTCGCCAGCAGCGCCGAGATCAGCCGCTGGTGCTGCTCCGGATATCCAATGGCCTGCACCGTAGTAGGAGGGGTGCGATGGCGGGATGATGATAATAGGGTGGTGAGGTTCGGAGATGACAGGGTGATGGGTGTCAGGACACACACACACACACACACGCACACACACACACACACACACACACACACACACACAGTCGCTCTCCATCCTGGCGCTACTGCGCTGTCCCTTGAGGGTCCACACATCTCCATCTCCATCTACACATACACACGAGCGCACCTGAAGAACGGGGATAAGTGCGGGCGATACAGACAAGTTGCTGGGGGACGGCAGCTGCATTGATGACTGCAGCAGCGATGATGCTGATGACAGTGATAAAAGTGGTGGTGGTGGTGTTGCTGCTGCTGTTGGCTTCTGGTGGGATGGTGGAGGGTGTGAGGATTTCTGATCATCAGATCCCTTCTTCTCCTGTTGCTGCTGCTGTTTGTCTTGGCCGGTTGCTGCTGCCATCTCTGGCAACGGCTCGGTTTTCACTTGCAAGTGCTGACTCTTCTTCTTCTTCTTGTTCTTCTGATCTTGTTTCTGCTGCTGTTGCTGTTGTTGCTGTTCGTTTGTGTGACGTGCACTTGGCTCGTTCTCCGCTTGCTTTCCCTCCTCTTCCTCATCATTTGCCTCCTTTGGTGTATCATCGCTGCTGAACTGCACCGCTCCCATGCCACCATTGTCAGAAGCTGTCGTTGTAGCCGTGGCGACGGTAGCGCTGGTGGTGTGTGCACTGCCTCTGTTGCCGCCTTCTGCGGAGCAGCAACAGTATGTGTGTGCGTGTGTGTGTGTGTGTGTGTGTGTGTGTGTGTGTGTGTGTGTGTGTGTGTGTGTGTGTGTGTGTGTGTGTTGTGTTGTGTTGTGTTGTGTTGTGTTGTGTTTGGGAGCAAAGGGATGTCAGGGGCGATCATTGAGCGGTTTGAGATCAGCCACAAGTTCGTGCACCCTCGTCCACAAAGGGGCACACACATGCATCCACGTGTTCACATGCATGCGTACCAGCGGAGATATTGAATGGGCTGAGCTCTCCGTGTAGGATGCGTTCTCGAATCACTTGTGCAAACCTTGCAGCAATATCTGACGAAACAATCAATACATGCACAAAAGCAGTCATGAGGGCGATGAGCGGGGGGAGAGAAGCGGTAGGATTAGGGCAGAAGATGTGGTGTTATTGATCTTCTTATTGTTCATGTCTTGTTGTTCATGTTTTCATGTCTTGGCATTACCTTCGTCGGCTTTGGCTTCCCGCTGTTTGAAGGCCTGTGCATGCGACAGGGAGAGAGAGAGAGAGAGAGAGAGAGTGTGTGTGTGTGTGTGTGTGTGTGTGTGTGTGTGTGTGTGTGTGTGTGTGTGTGGTGAGGGTGGAAGCCGGAACGGCAGCAAGGCACACCAACATGTTCAGGGAAGCAGCGGAAAAATGAAGGAAGCAGAGGCACAATAGGAAGAGGAGGAGTAGGACGCAGGCAGTCAAGACACGTACAACACGGTGTTCGTTGGAGAGCCGCTGCTTCCAGTTGATTTGAATCTGCCTAAGGATGCGATAGGAGACGTTGCGGAAGGTGTGCTTGACCTGCTGCAGGACGAATCAGTTTGTGTGTCGAGCAGCCAAAGAGATGACAAGGTGAGAGGTGCGCTTGTGAGGGCGTGCGCTTGTGAGGGCGTGCGCTTGTGAGGGCGTGCGCTTGTGAGGGCAGTGGGCGGCTGTGAGAGGAAGACAAGCCCTGCCCCTTTACAACCCAGGCCGGCAAGGCATACCTGGCGGTCAGTGTTCATGAGGCCCAGGGTCGCTTCCACAAAGGTGGCGAAGCCCCGGGGCGGCGTGTCCCAAATCCTGTCCTCGTCGCTTTGCATCGTAGACGCTCGTGGTTTGTGCTGCGCAAACGGGCAAGAGGAACAAAGGAAGCGCGCAACGTGGCAGCTGTGACAGGGGCTTCCTGGCTGGGTTTCAAGTCACGTGCTGTGAAATGAGACTGACAATGGCAAGAGTCTGTCAGGAAACCCGCCACGAGAGTACAAGAGCAAGGCGACGCGAAAGTGTTGGCGAACGTGTGTGTGTGTGTGCGTGTGCGTGTGTGTGCGTGTGTGTGTGTGTGGTGGGTGGGTGGGTGGGTGCACAACGCAGGAGAGAGAGAGAGAGTGAGTGAGTGAGTGTGTGTGTGTGTGAGTGTGCGTGTGGAGGACCGCCGACTCGCACCGTTTCTAGTTTTTAACTTTCTTGTCAAACCCTCTGTTAGTTGGCAAGGTTGACCGATTGCTCAGTCAACTACCCTGAGTTCACAGGGCTACACGCTACTTCGCTAAGCATCACGGAGCTGGGTGCTTATCCCCAATAGTTCGGATAATTATTATGCTCGCTAACACTACCACGACAGAGAGAGAGAGAGAGTGAGTGAGTGAGTGTGTGTGTGTGTGAGTGTGCGTGTGTGTGTGTGTGTGTGTGTGTGTGTGTAAGCGGGGGGGGGTATTCAATGGATACGAGGATGTTTGTGATTCGCGCCACTTTGGGCTGCTGCGGCGACTTACTTGGGTGAAACTTGGCGGGAACTTGAGACTTTGAAGGTATTTGTTGCTGGCGGTGTCCTGTCACAGTCAGGTGTCAGTCTCGTTCCAAGGCCTGCGAGGCAAACCAACCCAGGTGTCCACAACACACACACGCACACACACAAGCACACAAACACACACACGAGACAAAAAGGATTGATCACATCCACAGCACACTCGACTGGCAGACTGGCAGCTCGGCAGGCGGCAGTGTCCCCCTCATCTTGTTCACTTGCGCACCAACTCCCAACACGCACAACACACACATGCATGCACAACACCAGCACCAACCAACCACCCACATCATCCATCCAAGACCCCAAACGCAGCGAGCGAAGCAGCAAGCGAAGCGCCAGCGGCTCACCTCTTCTTCCAGTCGAAAAATGCCCTTTGAACGCGGCGGGCAAACGAGTCACCCCTTCCGATATTCGAGGGCTCGATGTGCGAAGCTAAATGCGTGTAATTTTGGTGGATAAACCGGCAAGCTGTCTAATGCGTACACTACCAGGTAAGGCCGTGCGAAACGTAGCAACAGCACCACGTCATGACTCATCATCCTCCAAACACAAACAACAGCGAAAAGCGAAAGCGGAGACGCAACAACTGCTCATTCATCGAAGCACACCCCCACCGCACCACACCACAACAAGCGAAGCAACCACCCGACGACGTACTGTCACATCACTGAATGAAGGCAAACAAACAAACACACACACGCGCGCAGTGAGAGAGAGAGAGATAGAACAAAAACCAAAACCAACGGATAGTGGTGCCGCGCGAGCCAGCACAGCAGCACAGTCACCATTATGGAGAGCACACCAACACACGACGACACTCCTGCTCAGCGTCCAATGGATGCCGCTGGTGAAGAGGAGCAGCAGCAAGATGTGGAGTGCAACATCTGTTACAACCCTGCCCTTGAGAACCGACGATGCAAGAGCTGCCGTCATCTGTTCTGTCACACGTGCATTCACGAGTGGATGGAAAAGTCTGCCATCCCAACATGCCCCACGGTGCGCTTGTTTATGTTTATGTTTGTCTATTTGTTTGCGTGTTTGTTTGTTTACTTGTTTGCGTGTTTGTTTATTTGTTTGCTTGCGTGTTCGTTTGCGTGTTCACTTGGTTGCGTATGTGCCTGTGTGGTTGAGTGCTGTGTGCCCGAGTGTATGCTGCTGAACGCGCCGTTTCCATTGTTGTCTTCGCACAGACACACACACAGACACACACACGAAACTCACGAGACGTTGCTTGTTGCCGTCAATGCAACCACAGTGCCGGTGTGACCTCGGCGATACAACGCTGGAGCATGACGAGGAGGTGCAGAACATTGTTGACAAGAGGGAAACATGCTGTGACATTTGCGGCACCACAGTGACGTACAAGTCGCTGGCCAAACACAGGCTCCTGTGCATGAACGAGGAGATTCAGTGCCCGTTTGCTGGATGCTCCTTTCACGGCACCCGCTCAGCCATGGACATTCACACAGCCTCCTGCTGCCTCGGCGCCAACTACAACCTGGTACGCCGCACGTGCGCTGTTTGTGTGTCTTTGCGTGAAGTTGTGAGTGAGTCTGTGAGTGTGTTTGTGTGTGTGTGTGTCTTTGTCTGTGTGTGTGTGTGTGTGTCTTTGTCTGTGTCTGTCTCTCTGCCTTTGTGTCTTTGTGTCTGTCTGTCTTTGTACCTGTGCCTGTGTGTTGCTTGCACAGTCGAGCCACTTGGTTGTGTGTGTGTGTGTGTGTGCGTGTGTGGTCTCATGGTGCTCTCTGCAACCTTGCCTGCAGGAGGAAGTGATTCAGTCAGTGTGCAAGCGCGCGGCAGATTCACAGCCCCAGTTTGTCAACGAACACCTGCTTGAGGACATCTACCAGCCAGACGTGCGTTGATGTGGTTTGTTTGTTTGTGCATGTGTTGAGCGTCGTTTGTTTTGCGTGACGTGTTGTGCTTGTTTGCTTGTTTTCGTGCTTGGTTGTTCGTGCGTTTGTGGTGTGCGCATGTCTTTGCATGTGCACGTTTTCGTGCTGCTGTACTTGCTGCAGCTTGCACCCACTTGACGTCACTCACGCACTTGTGCTGTTTCGTGTTGCCGTATTGCGCGGGTATTGCGCACACCCCAGGACACAAACGACAGCGACACGCTTGTTCACTTTGTGCAGGCGCACGACACACTTTCGGGCCTTGCCGTCAAATACTGTGCGTTCAATGTGACGCTGTCTGCCCAATCCAGGCTGATCCCCGCACACGCATGCACTACACGTGTACACACATACACACACATGTCTGCTTTTCGCACGCACGAACATGCACACGCACTTACTCACACACACGCACACACACACACGCACACACACACACACACACACACACACACACACACACACACACACACACACACACACACACACACACACACACACACACACACACACACGCGCGCGCGCGCGCGCGTATGTGCTCTTGCCACCACCGCCAATAACAACAGCGTGCACCCGTGAGGAGATTCTGCGGCTGAACAACCTCACATATGAGGCCCACCTCTTTGCCCGCGCATCCATCATCGTGCCCCGCCCAGAGTCGTGGCGCCCAAAGTCAGTAACCACGTGTGTGTGTGTGTGTGTGTGTGTGTGTGTGCGTGTGCGTGTGTGTGTGTGTGTGTGTGTGGGTTGCAAGGCCATGCACTACTGTGCAATTATGCGCAACTGCCCAGCCACTTGCCTTGCGCAGCCCCCCTCACCATAAAACACGCACGCAAACGCATGCACACGTGCGCAGGGAGGAGCCTGAGGTGCCCTTGAGCGTGCTCGTTGCGCTGCGAAAGAAGAAACTCACCCGCCGCGTCGTCACAAAGTGCAGTGTGCCAGAACCAGAGGTGTGTGTGTATGTTTATGTGTGTGTATGTTTATGTGTGTGTGTGCATGTGTGTGCGTGTGTGTGTGTGTGTTCGTGCTGATTGCTGGGTGTTGTTGTTATTGTTGTTTCTCGTTTGCACTTCTCGCTTGCTTTTCACGTAGCAGCCAGTCGCTCACTTGCCCAATCACTTCGTTCATTGAATTCGTTTCCGCGTCAGGCGGTGGCGTACCTGCACCTGACACACTACAAAGCAGACGAAGCGATTCGGCTTATCGAAGGTAGAGACAACGCTTGCGGCGTTTCAATGCGTGCTTAAGCGCGCCACACACATACACTCACACTCACACGTGCACTCACTCACTCACTCACACTCACACGCGCACTCACTCACACTCACACGCGCACTCACTCACCCACCCACCCACTTACTCACTCACACTCACACGCGCACTAACTCACTCACTCACTCACTCACTCACTCACTCACTCACTCACTCACTCACTCACTCACTCACTCACTCACTCACTCACACTCACACTCACTCACATACGCCCTACTTTCCACCTTGCCTCTATCTCCCCCTCTCACTGCTCGCGACCTGTGCTGGCTTCTTGCGTGCAACAGAGGATGTGGTGTGGTCGCTACAGCACGGCGAGTCGCAGCCGAAATCGCTCAAGGAGTTCCTGGGCCGCAAACAGCGCGGGCTTGCGCCGTGCACGGGATGTGACATGCCCATTGCTCAGCACACCCCGCGCCAGCACTGCGCCGCCTGTGGCGCCTTCTTCTGCCACCGCTGCCACCACGGACAGGGCCAGTGCAAGCTCACCGTCCCAAAGCTAGCGCTCGGTATGTCTCGATGCCTTGCTTGCTGCTGATGTCATAGTGGTGCTGCTGTGACGATGTTCTTGCGTCTGCCAAAGGGCGCCACTGCCTTTGACTTTGGCGCCCATTCCTTCCCCCTCTCTCTACACATGCACGATTGCACACACTCAACTGATGATGTCTGTGCGTCTTGCATACCAACAACAACAACAACAACAACAACAACAACAACAACAACAACAACAACAACAACAACAACAACAACAACAACAACAACAACAACAACAACAACAACAACGACGACAACGACAGGCGTGACAAACCCGGATGCCCGGTACCAGCATGTGCGCGTGTGTCACGGCTGCCACGACCGCCTGTCTCCACCATCAACAACAACAGCCCCAGCCGCGCAGTACACTCCCCCGTCCCTTCAGTACCATCAACGCGCCCAACAACAACACCACCACCACCACCACCAAGCCAGCGCTCCGCTCTGCTCGTGAGATCATGGCGTTTTGGTCGTCGCGATCGCGCAGTGCGGATAATTGTGAATAAAAGCGCCAATTTTCCTCAACCCACGTGTTTTTCAGCACCAGGCAAGACGAACACAAACACACACACACACAAACACAACACAACACAACACACACACACACACACACACACACACACACACACACACACACACACACACACACACACACACACACACACACACACACACACACACACACACACACACACACACACACACACACGTCGAGAATGCGACGCGGCCGTGGGGATGCAGAGGGTGACTCGTCGGATGACGAGGAAGAGGTTGACATGATGGGAAATAGCAGTGACGAGGAAGAGAAAGACAGTGGCAGCGACAGCGGAGATGAGAGCAGCAGTGGCAGCAGCGACGAGGAGGAAGGAGAGACAAAGCAACAAACAAAGGAAGGTGGAGATGAAAGTGACGACAACAACGAGAGTGATGACGACAGCAGCAGTGACAGTAGCAGTGACAGCAGCAGTGGCAGTAGCAGTGACAGCGATGAAGATGAGAAAGAGGAGGAAGAAGAGCCAAAGCTGAAAAAGGCAAAGGTGACATCGCCTCAGCAACAGCAGGAGAAACCAAAGGAGAAGAAGAAGAAGCAGCAGCAACAACAAGAACAAACACAGACCAAGAAGAAGAAGAAGAAGCCATGGGAAAAGAGCACCACCGCTGTCGAGGACAAGGGCGATGCGCCGGGGCTGGGCTTCAGGCGCCGACTGCCAAAGCCCGCATCGGACACCGACGAGACCGACACAAGCACCAGCACAGCCGCAGCACCCAAGAAAACGAAAGACAAGAAAGACAAGACGAAGAAAGACACGAAGCAAACGGATGACAAAGGCGACAGCGACCAAGACAAGCAAAAGAAACAGAAGAAAGCAAAGAGCAGCAGATACATTCTCTTCGTCGGTACGTGGACCTTGAGGGTGTGTGTCTCTGTGTCTGTGTGTCTGTGTGTGTGGTTACTCTGTGACTGTGCGCTGTGGTGTGGCGACGTTGTTTTCGTATCTGTCGCTGACGTTGGTTGGTTCACGTACAGGCAACCTGACGAAGCAAACCACAAAGGAGGAGATTGAAACCCACTTCAAAGCATGCCGTAAGTGATGAGATGACGCTTTCATGCCCTGTTCCGCTGTTCCTGAGTCACTGCCAAGATTGCTGTCGATCACCTCTTGTGTGCCGACTCATTGCTCTGTGGCTGCCACGTGCCAATCCTGCCATGACAGAGGTCAAGGATGTGCGGCTGCTGACGAAGAAAGGCACCAACGAACCACGTGGCTGTGCTTTCGTCGAGTTTTTCGACAGCGCCGGCCTCTGGGTGCGATTCATGTGTGTATGGGGTTTGTGTGAGTGTCTGTGCCTGTGCCTGTGTCTGTGTATGTGTGTGTGTGTGCTTGCGTGAGCAACTTCCTTCAGCCTCATGTATCGTTCGCGCTCAACGCTCCCCCCTTCCTCCTCCCTCTTGCGTGCGTTGTTTCCGGTTGTGTGCTGGCTGGGTGCAGAAAGGGATCAAGTTCAACAAGACGGTTCTCAACGATAAGCACTTGAATGTCGAGTTTACTGCGGGCGGCGGCGGCAAGGTGCGCACATGTGCTGCACTCGCTGACCTCGTGGCTGTAAACATACTGTTGTTGTTTGTGCTCGCACATACACACATACACACATACACACATACACACATACACACATACACACATACACATACACGCGCGTGCGTGCGTGCTTGGGCATACTCGCTCCCACACCCACTCCCTCACGCATTCATTCACACACACACACTCTCTCTCTCTCTCTCACACACACACACACACACGCACACTCACCTCCACGCACGCTCACACGCTCACACACTCACGTACATACATACTTATACCTTCACTCCCCCCTCGGCCATCCCACCATGACGGTGCGTGGCTGGCTTGCAGAGCGAAGAACGCGTGCAGAAGCTCAAGTCCTTGCGAAGGAAGAAGCAGCACATCATGGACCAGGTACCGTCGTCTGCACGTGGTCAAGGACAAGGCGGTCGAGAGGAGTACACAGCGGTACTGGGGAACAGGAGCAGGGTGGATGGGAGCTGGGCGGGTGTGCACCGCTCTGTGTCAGGTTGAATCGAGCATAGAGCGCGTCGCTCACGCCAAAACTGCATGCTGCACACGATACAGGTCCAGGAAGGGCGGCATGAGCGCCGAGGCACATATATCAACGAGCGGAACAGCGGCGGTTACAACTCCTTCCGTGGTGGCCGTGGTGGTGGCGGCTATGGTGGTGGACGCGGCGGTGGTCGCGGTGGTGGTCGTGGTTGGAGCCGTGGGGGCGGCAGGGGCAGAGGTGGACGAGGCAGAGGTCGTGGTCGTGGTGGCGGTCATGGAGGGAGGTGGTGAGAGTGTCAGTCAACAGATACACAGCTGGCTGGAGACAGCAAGCAAGCAACCATCACTCACTCACACACACACACACACACACACACACACACACACACACACACACACACACACACACACACACACACACAAACCAGCCCCCGCTTCTTCTTCATTCTGCTTCTTTGTTCCACCCGAAGTCGTGGCGATTGATTGAAAATACACATAATTTTCGATGCGCCAGCGGACAAAGATGACAAGTGTGCGAGAGCTGGTGGCTGGGTTGGCAGTGCTGGTTGGTGATGATGATGGCAGTGGTGCGACAGAGGCACGCGAGGAGCTGCACCGCCGCCTCATCCTGAGTGACGATGGCGCAGGGACAATGCGTGTTGATGGTGATACGTTGGCTTCACTCGTGGAGGCTGTGCAAGGGATGGACACTGAGCAACGGGGGATGGTGTCGTGGGAACTGATTGAGCTCAGCGTGGCTGCGCTTGCAGCCGACGGCAAAGGACTGCAGGTGGAACGAGAGAGCACAGCTCAGCACGCCGAAGACAGCACGCAGTCAAATGACAGCATGAACACACAGGAAGAAAGTGGTGTGAAACAATCTCAACAATCCCACGGCAAGGAGCAAGGCCACGGCGATGACAGTGGCAGTGGTGATGATGATGATCGACAGGTGAAACAAGCAAGTCGGCAACATGCGCTCACACAGCATCGGAGATCCTTGCTCTCTTTGCTCGACTTTGTCACGGAGGCACAGACCAAGGACATCTACATGTGTTTGCTGCAGCAAGCATGTATGCATGCCGACGACCCCAACGTCTGGAAAGAGTTATGGATGCGCACGTTGCAGTGCCTAACCCGCCAGCGTCCCTCGTTTCGACGCCGCGCCATGGAGGAGCTGCTGTCCTCCCGGCTCTCCAGCGTCCAGCGCGCTGTCGAGCAGCTGCAACCAGACGTGTTTTCCCACACACCCGCGGCCACTACGAGCGATGATGGTGAAGCTGCCACGGCTAGCAGCGACTGCCAACAACAACAACAACAACAACAACAACAACAACAACAACAACAACAACAACAACAACAACAACAACAACAACAACAACAACAACAACAACAACAACAACAACAACAATCGAGTGAATATGAGAGCGCCGTGCGCCAGCTGACCGTGTATGTGGAGGGGTTGATGAGCGGATTGGAAGCGCTCCTTCCCCAGGCAGGTAAAGACGCGCACGCGGTGTTGGAGGAAGATCAGCAGCGCCCTGTTGAGTTGCAGACCTATGCCATCGCACATGCGGCTGTACGCGCCGTAGGATGGGCCACGTGTCTCCCGTCGCTAACAGCAGTAGCGACGCGTGCTGTGCATATCCTCCAGACGCTTGACACGTCGTTCCTGATGCAAGTGCTCGTTCGCGAGCCGGTCGATGAGGAACAGCAGCTGCGCCTGGACGCGTTTTCGGAGCGGGGCGTGGACTGGCCGCCCGAATTCAACTACACCCTCTCCCCAGCAGCAATTGAGGCAATTGAGGCAATAGAGGACCTCACCCACCATCGGCCGCGGTTTGCACCGGATATGGGCAGCAGCGCGGCGCTGGCACTCGCAGCGCTCGGTGGCAGATGCGCTGTTGACGGAGTGAAGGCAGGGGACGACGGCACCACACCACTGGCGCCCGTCATCATCAGGTCGGTGTATGTGTGTCTGTGTGTCTGTCTGTCCGTCTGTCTGTCTGTGTCTGTCTGTCTGTCTGTCTGTGTATCTGTGTGTGTCTGTGTGTCTCTGTGTCTGTGTGTGGTGGCTTGACTGTTGGACTGAGCCTGAAGGACTATGTGCGTGCCAACAGAGTGACTCCTGTATTTCTTGCTGTCCATTTTTCAGTCGTACAGCCCATCTCCTCAACGCCCACATGTACGCCGAGTTCTTCCTGCGCCACGACGGATACCAGGTCCGCGTATTGCGCAAACTTGCATGTGTGTCTGTGTGTGTGTGTGTGCGTGTGTGTGTGTGTGTGTGTGTGTGTGTGTGCGTGTATCTGTGTCTGTATCTGTGTCTGTGTCTGTCTGTTGTGTCGTGTGCGTTGAACCTGCCAATTGTCGGTTCATCTGCAGTCGTTAAACATCCTCTTCTTTCTCACATACCACTCGCGCATACTCACACTCTCCCAATACCACTACGATCGCGCTGAAATCATGATGACTGGCACCAGGTACGTGCGTGCGGCGTGCAGCTGCTGCGAACAACACTGCGGAAGCAAACGCCGCACTCCCTCTCCCTCGACATCATGGAACGGCTCATGCCAAAGACAACGTATGCCGTGCTGCTACCTGCTGTTGGGAAAGTGACGATAATAATTGTTGTGGGTGCTTTTGTGCTGGCAGCGGTACACATGCCAATGGCTCATGTGTTTGAGTGGAACATCTCACGCACGCACATGCACCCACACTCACTCACTCACTCACTCACTCACTCACTCATGCGCATATGCGGTGCAGGGCGGAGAGCGGCGTGTCGGCGCTGCAGCGACTGGTTGAACACACGGCCACGTCGCCAACCAAACAAGCACGCGATGAGGTGCGACGTGTTGCCTGCAAGCATTCATTCGGCACGTTTGATTTTGTCTTGTCGTGCTATTTGTTGTGCTGTGTGTTGCGTTTGCTCACTCGCACGTGTCTCTCTTCCGACTGACGCGTGTCTCCTTCCACCCACACGTGTCGTGTTTGATCGCACAATCCCACGCCATCCGCATCTACTCCCTGCTGCGCGTATGTGTGTGTCTGTGTGTCTGTGTCTGTGTCTGTACGCCTGTGCTTTTGTCTGTGTGTGTGTGTGTCTCTCTGTCTCTGTATGTCTGTATGTGTGTGTGTGTGCAGTGCACAGCGACAATACACATGTACATCCAGGCGTTTGCGGCAGAACCGCGCCACTGCCTGCTGTCCATGCTGCTCGACTCGTGTCCGTTTGACCCCATGTACCAGCTCCTGGTCATGCTCCTCAAGGTGCCGTAACAACGCACCCACGTCCGAGATGAGTCTGTTTGTGTCTGTGTGTGTCTGTGTGGACAGGGATGAAGGCTGCTCGTTGAGGTGTGCAAGTTCGTTCCCTACGCCCCCTCTTCTTCCCCTTTCTCGTTGTTCTGTGTGTTTCCATTGCCGCTGCCTGCCATCTCCTGACACACACACACACACATGCACACACATGCACAAACACGCACCATGCTACTGCACGCGGCAGTCGGAAGTTCTGTCCGCTCTTGGCGATGATGCAACGGACGACCAGCGCCGATTCTTCACGGGCGGCGCTCTCTGGAGGTGGTGGCTACAACCTCTGCTGCTGCTGCTGCTACTGCTGCTGTTGCTGCTGCTGGTGTTGTTGTGGTGATCAGTGGTGGTGGCTTGTAGTGGTGCTGATTGATGAAGACGTGTTGATGGGTTGAGACTGCTGCATATGTGCGTGGTATGTTTGCGTTCAAGTGCCTCGCATATCTGGGTCATCCACGATATTGCGCGTATGCTCATACAGTTATGTCACTGCCCGACATGTGTGTGTGTGTGTGCGTGTGTGTGTGTGTGTGTGTGTGTGTGTGTGTACCACGTTGCCTCAGTCTGGTGTATCTGCTCATCAAGTCATTTGACGCGGAGCGAACGGCCGTCATTGCAGACAACTTCACGAAGGTGCTAACAAGTGTTGTTCTTGTTGCTGTTCTTGTTCTGTGTTGCAACACTGCCGCGACGCCATGCAACTCACTATCGAAGCGACTGCCTGCCACCTCTCTGCTCTCACTGCGAACATACATACAACTACATGCGCGCTGTCATTCATGTATTTACGCATGCGCACACCCTCCACCTCTCGTACACCTCTCGTACACCTCTCTTCCTTGCTTCCTTCAGTTGTCTGCCACACTGAATCTGCTGTTGTTCATGCTCATGTACGGACCAACACATGCCATGGACCGTGTTGTCGCCGACGACGCCACAGGGGTAGGTCCAAGGTCAACATGCAACATCAGCAGCATGTCATGCTTGCTTGCTCTGCACAGCGGCCATGCTGCAATGTCGTTTGATTTATTGTCATGCAGTGCATCGCTGTACCTGATCCTTCTCCATCATACATGCCGCCGTGCTCACTCGCTGACCAACTTCACACACACACACACACTCACTCACACACACACACACTCACTCACTCACTCACTCACTCACTCACTCACTCACTCACTCACTCACTCACTCACTCACTCACTCACTCACTCCCTCGCTCACTCACCCACTCACTCACATGCATACATACACAAACACTCAAACACGTTTCACGGTGTGTGGCGCAGGTGTGGCGGCACGGGGTGGTGGGCGAGCTCCAGTCGCTGTTTCTCGATCCTTTACAGCGGCGCATTGAAAAGACAGAGGCGGAGCTGCACGCGCGCATCCACGACATCAGGTCGCGCGCGTGCACATCGCTTTCGTGGTCGTAGCCATAATGGCAGTGGTGGGAATGACATACATGGTGATCGTGTGTGCATGGCATGCTTGTCATTGACCCATGTGCATGCGTGTTGTTGCCATCTCATAGTGATGTGCAATCCAATCCCTACGTTCATGGCATGTTCAGGAAGGAGAGTGATGGCGCCTCAGAGGGGAATGCGCACGAGCACCAAACGTCGCCGTCCCTGCCATCAACGCAGACACTCGACCTCATGCAATTTGCCACTCTGCAGGTGGGCACTGGGTTGTTGTGTGTGTGTGTGTGTGTGTGTGTGTGAGTGAGAGAGAGAGTGTGTGTGTGTGTGTGTGTGTGTGTGATTGAGAGAGAGAGAGAGAGATTTTGGCTTCATGTGTGAGTGCACGTCGTCATGTCCCGTTCCTCCTCCCTCCCCCCATTCCATTTCCCCTCTGTGCTGTTGCTGTGTGTGCGCGCAGGATCCGCGGGAGCGACGACGACTGGAGCAGCAGGCGGCGTCACGCGAGCTGGGGCAAGTTGGTGTGCTCTCCTTCTTGCTGCAGAGAGTCAACACCGTCATCAACCAGGGGCAGGCGCACCTGTAACTGTTTGCAGATGTGCAGATGTGCAGATGTGCATAAGCAAGTTAGCAGTACATGCATAAATGAAGCAGTGTTGATGTTGGGACAACAAACAATTAAAGCGAACAAGGAGCGGGGATTTGGAGGGTGGGGTGAGTCACATTGGAGCACTTGGCGTGTGCGAACATGTGAGGTGTTGAAGATGATTTCCAATGGCTTGGAGGAACCATCCGCAAGGCAAGAGCAAGTGTCATCGATGTGGAATCTTGATGCTGACGAGGTGCAAGTACATGTAATGTGAGATGGCATCTACACCCACAGGCACACACACACACACACACACACACACACACACACACACACACACACACACACACACACACACACACACACACACACACACACACACACACGCACACACACACACACACACACGCACGCACACACGCACACACACATGTTTCAAATTGTTCGCGGCATTTGTTGTAGACTGATTTCAGTCGCGTATGACGACAGCGGAGATGGGGGACCAAGCAGAACAACAGCAGCAGCGCGTGCAGCAGGTGTGTGTGTGGAGTGCGAAGAGTGGATGGAGGACTCGATGACTTGACTTGCTCCACTTGCTTCCTGGGAAGGAGGACGACTGAAGGACTGGGTTGCACATTGGTGGAGTGCTGTTGTCGTGTTTTACAGTGGGTTTCAAGAAGCCACTTCGTCGTCGGGGTCTTGATAGCAGTCACACATGACCAAAAGCTCACATGCACATTTTATACACACACACACACACACACACGCACATACACACACACACACACAACCACACACACACACACACACACACACACACACACACACACACACACACACACACACACACACACACACACACACACACACACACACGAACATTCGTTTCATTGACCATGCCACTCTTGCGGTGCCTCCGACAGCGTGGGAGGAAGCGCACACTCCCAAAGCCAAGCCAAAGCACATCGTCATCGGCCTTGTTGCAGTCAGACGCGCAGTGAGTGCCCTGCCTCACACGTTTATATGCAGTGATCATGCATCCAGCACAGGACTCATATGCGACCATTTCTTCCCATCCACACACACACACACACACACACACACACACACACACACACACACACACACACACACACACACACATGCACACACACACACACACACACACAAGGCGGCTTGTCACACTGAAAGCCATTCTCGCCTTTGAAGACGAGCACCGGCGGCTGCTGAGACAACTCATCACGGTACGTTGCCAGCGCGATGACGGGCGATGGTGAGGATGGTGATGCCTGATATGTCGCCTTCATCCTTATGCCCACATCCCCGCTGTCCTGCTCACTCCAATCACCACGACTGCTTTGCCACTGAATCACAATTTGCAGGATTTCCGCGATGCGATAGCCAGCGATCAGGTGCTGTGGCCGCTGATGCATCGAGCCTTTGTTGTCGTGAGCGCGAATAATGCGTGGGCGTTCACCTTGGACTGTATTATACGGTCCAAGCTAGTTCCAACTACACTGACCTTGTCACTTTCATCGCCTTCTTGTCGACGTTCGCATGGTGCAGGAACTGGCTGTGGACCAGGCACAGCTGGATCTGCTGTTCCCGCCAATCTTGCAGTACATGCACGACCAATCAAAAACCACAGTGAAGGTGTGCTCTTCCGCCTTTCCACCTCATGCAACTGCACAATCACACTCTATTGTGTGTGTATGTGTGTGTGTGTGTTTGCAGACTTTCACCATCTCTCATACGTGCGCCACAACGTCAAACGCACCCGAACATGAACACGCACCACGTGCCACAGTTGCTGTCAGCGCGGGTGCGCACTGCACAGGGCCGGGCCGTTGTTGGCGATGTCTATCATCGCCTCTTTGACCGCGTATCAAACGTCAACCAGGTGTGCGTGTGTGTATGCAAATGTGAAAAGGTTTATGCACGCGCACATGTAAAAGCCTTTGTACGCGCGCATTTGTGTGAGGCTTTGGGTGCACGTATGTTGCCGCTTGCCCTTCTCTGCGCCTTTCATACCCCATTACACGTTCTCATTGTCTCACACCTCCGCATCGATCCCAGGGCATGTCGCGAGTGGAGTCTGCCTACTTTGAGTTTGCATTCACACACGTGTCGCGGAAACGGCTGTTGGAGGAGATCCTGTAAGCGATCGCTGCATGCTCGTTGCCACATGCGCAATACAGCATAGTTGTCATCACGGTCGCTGTTGCATGGTCATATGTACAGACACCACACAAATGTACGCATGCTCATACTGTATGTCACGCCCCCCCTCACCATCGTATCTGTGTGCTGGGCGGATGACAGGACGACCAACAGCCACCCGCTGTACTCCATTCTTCGCGTGACAAGCAGCCGTGTCTTTGATGAAGGCAACACACTCACACACGCAATCGACGCGCCCTTTCTTCACTTGCGAGCGTACGCGCGAGCGTGTGTGTGCGTGTGTGTGTGTGTGTGTGCGTGTGTGCGTTATGCGCGTGTGTGCGTTATGCATGTGAAGTTGTCTTTCCGCAGGTGCACGCGCACCTCCCTCTGTGTTTTCGAGCGCGCTTGGTCCACCCGCCTCTGCATTTGTTCTCACCACCACCACCATCACCATCACCATCACCACCATGTTGCATGCACGTCCTCCCTTCCTCAGGTGGTCACGAAAGTTGCGCGCGCTCATCAAAGCGACGCCGACAGACCATCCTGATGCAGTGTTTCTCAGGGAAACGGCAGAATTCTTTCGTGTACGTGTGCCTGCAGGCAACGCTGCAGTCTGCTTATTCATGCATGCGTGTGTATGGTCGTTGTGTCGATTAGTGCTTGCATGTGCGCATGCATGTGTCGATGCATGCACATCCACACTTTGTTGCTTCCCCTTCCCTTCTTCCCTTCTTCCCTTCTTCCCTTCTTCCCTCCTCTTCTCTGCTTCGTATTGTCTGTCTCAACTCACTCCAGCGGTCGTTTGATTTTGTATCCAATGCAAACAGGCCCTCTCAAAGGAACTTGCATCCGCCCTTCAGGTGTGCACACATGTTCATGTGCTTGTGTATGTCCATTTGTGACGCGCTGGTTCCACCAAAACTGCATCCCCGCAATCGCCCGTCTGCACTCACCATTCCACGGCTACACTTCTTGCCGACACATCCGCCTTTCACCGCGTCCCCCATCCCACCCCATGCCCACAACACATGTGTGCACGAATGAACAGAGCGCTTCCAGCACAAGCCGGCCAATCTCGTTTGCTGCGAGCGACTCAAGCCCAACAAAGGACGGGGCTGTTGCTACAGCTGCTGCTAACGGCAACACAAGCTATGACAGCGTGAACAGCAGCAACACAAAGGCATACAGGGGGAGTGCGCGGCTTCTCGAGCTCCCAAAGCACAAGGTGGAGCACAATGTGACAAAACATGGATCCTGGGCATGACGTGTGCAAGCTTACACCGACCTTCACACACAGACACACACAGACACACACAAACACACACAGACACACACACCCACACACACCCACACACACCCACACACACACACGCACACACACACACACACACACACACACACACACGCACACACACACACACACACACACACACACACACACACACACACGCACACACACAGAGCCTAACCCACTCCCGCTCTGACCCACGCATGCGTGCCCCACCTCACCAGACAAGCGACGACGAAACATCTGCCGAGACCAAGGCACGAGCAGGTAGTGGCCGGCACAGCACAAAGAAGGGCAACAACGATGACAATGTCGACGCCAACACCAACGCCAACACAGACGAGGACAACACGCGCACCGCCAACGGGCGGCTGTCTGTGATTTCGCGGCCAGAATCGTTTACGCACGTGGTGCACATGGGCCCTGACGCGGTGTTGTTTGGCGGCCTCTCTGCTGCCGCCAAGCAGGAACTCAAGAATGCAACGCCAGGACGTGAGTGGAATGGAGTGTTAATGGAGACGGGATGAGACAGGCGGTGGGATGATTGGTTTGGGCGGCGGAGGTTTTGGTTTCAATGCGTTGGTGCATCGGTGGCGCAGCGGCGTGTCGGTCTGGTCACATCAGGCTTTGTTTTGCCTTTTCTCTCACCCACATACACACACAACTCACCCCCCCCCCCTCCACACATACACATACACACACGCGTGTAGGGCGGGCTGCGCTTGTTCGCCAGGGCGCGAGGGAAGGCAGCACCAGCACGGCGGGCCATAACGTGAGCAGCAGCAGTCTGCTGTCTCCAACATCACCATCTTCCTCCTTCATCGGGTCCTTTCGTGGGTTTTCTCTCCGCCGCCGCCAAGCAGCAACAGCGAATGGTGACGGCAGCGACCAACTTCAGCGCTCGCGTTCGCTGCACTCCTCTCGTCCAAGCAGCAGAGACTCGGCCACGCTCTCCCCGACACACACGCGCACGCGTGCATCTTCCACACGCGCAGCGAGACACCGCACCAGCAACGGAGGTGGTGGCGATGGTAGTGGTGACGAGGACGTGGTGCCAGCATCAGCGTCGTCACCTTCGCTGTTTCGTCGCGGTCTGCGATTGTTCTCACGGCGATCACGGCGCCGCTCACAGCGCACAGGCACCACGCACGGCAGCAGCGACGGTGCTGTTCACGTCGATGGTGACGGTGGTGCTGGTGGTGCTGATGACAGTCGGGGTGGGTCACGCGGTGCGCCAGGCAGTGTGGTGTCCACCGCGAAAGACAGCACGATGGACACGAAGGTGAAGAGCAGCAACGGTGCCGGCCTATCACCACTGGCGGCATCACATCGCCAGCGCGTGCGAGGTGACGGTTCGAGTCAGGTGAGCAGCACCAGCAGCGGACCGAGCACACCGTCCCGCAGCCCGCTCATGCGCGCCCGGCAGCTGCTACAGGGCGGGCGCCGCAAGGCAAAGCGTGGTGGTGACGGTCACCGGCGACGCGGACGGAAGGTGGCACCGAGCATAGCGGCATCAGCGTCGAACGCGACAGGCGGTCGTGACGGCAGTGGTGCTGGTGGCCGCATGCACGTGCAGTCGGCGTCGCTGGAGGGATTGGACGACGTGTTTGATGACTCGTCAGCAGGGAGCACGCCTGTGCTTGACCGCTCGCTGGCGTTTCGCACTGCACTCGCAGCAGAGGCAGCAGAACACGCCCTCACGTCGTCCCCAGCACGTACCGGCCATCGTGGTGGCGGTGGTGGTGTGCAGGGGAAGGGAAGCAGAGGTGGTGGAAACACGGACAGACGAGGAGAGAAGCGGCAGACACGAACAGCAACAACAGCAACATCATCAGCAACAACACCAGCAACAGCAAGAACATCAGCGGTAGCATCGGTGGGTGCGGCCAAACAAGTGCAAAAGCAGCACGACGGTGGCGGCAACAGCAAGAGCGCGAGTAGCAGTCGCGGTGTTGTTGACTTTACGCGGGCTGCGAGTGTGTCGACAACAGCGCGTGTGCTCTCGTGGGGTGCGGGCGTTGCAGAGGCGACAACACGAAGCGACGAGGAGGAAGACAAGGTTGGACGACAGGCTGCTTCTGCTGAAGTGGTGGCGGGGCAGCAGCAGGAGGAGAACAAAGAGGGAAGTGAGACCGGGGAGACGGTGGAGGAGAAGGGGGAGGTGTTGACACGGAGAAAGGCGAGAAGAGGTAATTCGGGTGTCGTTGATGGTAAAGGGAACGCCAGTCCCGCGCACCGTCAGCGCGCGCCAACGATTGTGGTGGACGGAGACATTGTAGGTAATGATGATGGTGTAGGTGATGATGATGTTGGTGGCGATGGTGGCGATGGTGGCGATGGTGGAGGACAACATACGTTGCACAGCAGCCGCACCCACCAGATAGCAGCGGCCGCTGGTGATGACCACGATAGCGGCGATGATGAGGAGGATCCGATGAACACGACACTGCAGTCGTCGTCGTCGTCCATCGGGCGGCTGGAGGTGCTGCGGCAAGTGAGCACGGTATCGCTCCCCTCAACAACAATGGAGATTGATGACGAGGACAGCCTTGACTTTGAGCACAGCGATCGTGACGACGACCATGACGACCATGATGATGGTGATGGTGATGGTGATGGTGGGGACGATGATGACAATTACGATGGTGAGCAGAGAGGACGCAGCAAGGTGGCGTGGGCGGTTGGTCGCGACGGGCGTGCACATGCCCGAGACGAGTCGAGTGCAATGCAGCTACCGGGCAATGATGGCAGTGACGGCAGTCGTGTGGACGGCGGTGATAGGGTTGACATGAGCTCGGATGGGTCCAGTGACATTATTGAGTGCTGATTGTCTGCCGTTGTTGAGAGTGCGCGCGCGCGTGTGCGTACGTGTGTGTGTGTGTGTGTGTGCGTGTATGTGTCTGTGAGAGAGAGAGAGTGTGTGTGTGTGCATGTGTGTGTCTGTGTGTGTGTGAGAGAGAGAGAGTGTGTGTGTGTGCGAACACACGTGTGTGAGTATGTTGTTTCCTGTTTTGTGTGCGATTGTGTAACCAATTCTGTGTGATGAGGTTGTGTATGGTTATTGATAAACACAACTCATATTTCTCCCCTTCCATCGTATTTCAAGCTGGCGTCGCAGTGGTGTATGCGTGTCTTGTTTTGTTGTTTCGTCTATACAACCGTCTTCCAAGCGAATGCACACACACACACACACACACACACACACACACACACACACACACACACACACACACACACACGCTCACACACACACACACGCTCACACGAACGACATAAGAGCGAGGCAGGGCGAAAGCAAGCAGAGCACGGCTTTGGTAGAGGGGAAACAAAGCAAAGAGGTGCAGACAAGAGAGCCAGAGCAAACAGACACTGAGCATCTCCGTGACAGCAAAGAGACGGGCAGAGAGGGAGGGAGAGGGAGAGGGGGGATGCATGAATGTAGGAGGACAAGCAAGCAAGCAAGGCAACAGAAATGTATACACGTGGACACAGACACACACACACACACATACACTGTTGTATGCGAGGGTGGCAATCGACAGACAGACAACTAGGCGGCGACGACAGCTACAAGTCTCGATCGCGAATGAAGCGGTTGCCTTCAGAATGGCGCCCATAATACACATAGCGACACTTGCTGATGCTCCCTAGTGTGTTGCACAGCATGCGTGTCGGGTGTACATGTGTGGTGTGTGCATGCACAATTCATGCGTGTGTGGTGTTAGCCATGGGCACACGATCGAACACTCAAGGAAAACAAAAATACATTAAGGTTTCACGTCGTACAGTCACGACATACACAGACAGCCAGCCAGGATGACAGACACGCAGAGACACAGAGACACAGAGACACATACATAGACACACACACACACACACAGACAGACAGACACAGACACAGACACACACACACAGGTGCAAGCACAGCACCTTTGTGGTCTTCGGCTGTGCGCTCCTTGTGTGGCAACGGAGAGAAAGTTGGGTCGTGTTCAGAGAGGGACGCCTGGTGTTGACGCTCCAGCTGAAGGCAAGGCGGAGGAGGGGTGGGATGGACGTGAGGGGGAGGGGAGGAAGAATACGGAAGCGCATGCAGAGTGGGGAGAGGAGCATGGTGGGCTTAATCTTGACTGAACACACACAGAGAGAGAGAGAGAGAGAGAGAGAGAGAGAGAGAGAGAGAGAGAGAGAGAGAGAGAGAGAGAGAGAGAGAGAGTGTGTGTGTGTGTGTGTGTGTGTTGGGGGGGGGAGGAGAAGTAGCAAATGCAAAGAAAACAGGCAATGTCGACGCTCAGAGAAGCAGATTGTCAGATAGACAAACGCATGAGCACACACACACACACACACACACACACAGACACACACAGACACGCAGACACACACAAAGACACACAGGCAGACACACACAGACACACATACAAACGCACCTCGTCTTCATCCAGTCGCAGAGCAAAGTCGCCGGCTTGTTTCGCCGCCTGCACCTCCTGTGCACACACAAGGCAGTGTAGAGGTATGAGATTGATTGAGTTCATGCACGCGGGCGTAAGTGTATGTGCGTGTGTTCATGTGTTTATGTGTGTGTGTGTGTGCGTGTGTCGGCGAACCTTCTCTGTGACGGGACTCGAGTCGAGGAACTTGAGGTTGGGCAGCTGATACAGGACTTGCAGCCTGAACCATCGGACACACGCGCAGAATTGTCTGTGTGAGCAGGTAGGCTTTGAACACAGACGTGCAAAGCAGCCTGGTAGATGCACGCGCACAATCTCTTACACACAGACACAGACACACAGACACAGACACGCACACACACACACACACACACACACACACACACAGACGCTTCCCCCCCAACGCACCTGTACTGTCTGTAGTCCTCCTCCTCCTTCTGCATGAGCTCGTTCGGGCAGGCAATGTTCCAGAGCAAGCTCAGGAACTTGAGGTTTGGCGTCTTCGCCTTGATCTGCGCCAGAAGCGGCGACACATCTGTCAGCTTGTTCTTGTTCAGGCTCAGTGTCTCCAAGGACGGCAGCAACGGCAGCTCAAACCCGTCTTGAAGGTCGTTGCCGTCCAAGATGAGCTCCTTCAGCGACGTGAACAGCTCCAGGTTGTCCAGCGACGATAAGTCGTTGCCAGTCAGGTCCAGTCGCGTTGTTGCCGCACCATATCGTTCTGGAACGCACACGTGTTCGCGCGTGCATGGGCGGGCAAGAGTGTCGTTGTTGGGTCGTTGAGATGAGCAGGTGGAGGGTGGTTGGAAGGGAGTGAGTTTGGGAAAGAGTAAAGAGGTGCGTTGAGCGGAAGGAGCTTGCATTGACACCATCACTGCTCTTCTCTTGCTTCTGCCCTGAACCGAAGTACAGTCCATACGAGAAAAGAAGCCAGCAGCGGGTGCGGAAAGCACATGCTCACCTCCAAGGACACGCGGGAACTCCTCCATGTCTGCATATGCGCATGACAACTGCAAAACACAGACGTGAAACATCATCAGTGAGAGCGAGCACATACACGCATACATACACGCACATGTACAAACACACAGACACACACACACACACACAGACACAGACACAGACACACACACGCAGACAGACAGACAGACAGACAGACAGACACACACACACACACACACAGACAGACACACGTGTCCAGTCTACTTACCGTGCCATCTTTGACTTCAAACTGCTGCCACTGCTGTTCCTCCTGCTCCTGCTCCTGTTGTTGTTGTTGTTGCTGCGGCTGCTGTGCTTGGTCTTCAACCTTGTCTTGTTGCAATTGCTGGTGCTGCTGTTCCTGTTGTGACAGCTGCTGATCATCTGTGGGCCGTGGTTGCTCCGCCTCCTCCATATCGCTGTTGTTGTTGTTGCTGTGCATGTGGTGTTACTGCTGTTGTCAACGCTTCCTGATGTGCTGTTGTTCGCGTTCCACGGGCAGAGCAACAAGAGCAGTGATGACAAAGAGACAAAGCCCTCCACTTCCTCCTCGCTCACAAGCGTGCGCGCGCGCGTGTGTGTGTGAGTGTGTGTTGAGTACGTGTATGAGCGTGCGTGCGGGTGTGTGGTCGCTGTGTAAATCCAATCAATGCCCTTCTTCTCGTCGTCTCTTCTATTGCTGCTTGAAATTGGGCGGAGATGAGCGACGATGATGATGCATTCTCGTTGTTGTTGTTGCTGCTTGGAGGGACTTGGCTGTGGTCAACAGCACCACTTTAGCTCTTTGTCACTTGGAGGAACACGACGTAGTTGGCTTGGCGCTGGACACACACACACACACACACACACACACACACACACACACACACACACACACACACACACACACACACACGACGACGACGTACATATCGGAGACTCATGTAGGGACTATGTGAAACGACTCGGGATTAGTACCAGAGCAACGCGGTAGGGAGCGTTATTCCAGCCGGTCGGTCGTCGGTCGACGACACACACACACACACACACACACACACACACACACACACACACACACACACACACACACACACACACAAGGCAGAACAGGGTTGCTTAGGCTAAGAGCATTGGAGTATAGCCATTGTGAGGCGAAAGGAGTAGCAACGACAGCAACAAGCAGAGGAAGATACACATACGGCAGCACTCACATATCCAGCAGCACCAGCACACATCGGCAGATGGGCGCTTGTGTTTGGTGGTCGTGGTGGGATGCAGTGGCACCGTTCAGGAACAACAGCAGCAGTGGCAGCAGCACGTGGCAGTGGTGGCTGTGGTGTGCGGCTGCAGCCATGGTGGTGACCAAGCTGCTGCGCCGGCCCCTGTTGGAGATCCGCACTCGCGTAAGAGCACAGCAGACCATCCCTTCGGCCACAACCCCTCCGGTATCCTCCGCGACAGCCCCACCGTCTTCGTCCGACCCTGCTCATCCTGGCAGTGCTCCTGACGTGGAGCGCCTCCTCGCCAAGTGCCCCTCCCTGCGGCAGTACCGGGCGCCTCTGTGGTACCTCTTCGACATTGCTGGAACGCTTGCAACGACCATCCCGCACGCCATTCGTGGGGCGGCCACGCGGCGCCGCTGGCATCCGCTCACGCGCGACCTGCTCCGCCTCCAGGACGGCGGTGTCATCGCCATTGACTGGGCCAAGCCCTTGCCCGCGGCCAACGCCCATATTAGCACGGATGGCGATGCTGGTGTCGCCAGTGCTGATGGGGATGAGCGCGGGGCACCGGTTATCGTGGTGATGCATGGGCTGTGCGGTAGCAGCGAGTCGTCGTATGTGCGCGTGCTGTTGGAGGAGGCGACACGGCAAGGGTTCGAGGTCGCCGTCATGAATGCGCGCGGGTGCGGGCGTGTGCCGCTCGTGAACCATGTCGGCATGCACGCGGCGCGGATCAGCGACTTCCGCCACGCCCTGCTGCACGTGCGCAACTGCCGCCCCACCAGCCCCGTCTTCGCGGTTGGCTTCTCCCTGGGCGCAGGCGTCCTCGCCAAGTACCTGGGCACATATGGAAGCGACGCTAGGCTGGACGGCGCAGCCGTGCTCTCGCCATCATGGAACTTCCACCGCAAGCACTGGGCATTTGACCTGTGGTCCCGCTTCGTGCTGATGCGCTCCCTGCGCGAGTACGCGCGCGACAACCACCGCGTCCTGCGGGAGATGGGCGTGTACGAGCGGGCCATGGCTGCGAAGTGTGTGCGTGAGTTTGATCACGTAGCAGTGGTTGGCCCACACAACTTTGCTGATGTCGACGACTACTACACCCAGTCCAGCAGCATCCACACATCGCACAACATCACCGTGCCCACGCTTGCCATATCCGCCGCAGACGACCCCGTGTGCTGCGTTGACGGCGCACCAAGCACGCCGGACGAGCTTGGCCCGGGCCTGGCAGTCGTCATCACGCGTACGGGCGGACACCTTGGCTTCTCGCAGGGGGTGCTGGGTTGGAATCACGTGAGCTGGATGGAACAAGCAACACTTGACTGGTTCAAGGCGTGCCTCACATCTGCGTGACAAAAAAAAGAGGGGGGGGGGGGGGTGGTGTGGTGATGTTGTGGTGTGATGCGTGTGTGTGTGATGTGTGTGTGTGCGCGCGCGCGCGTGTGTGTGTGTGTGTGTGTGTGTGTGTGTGTGTGTGTGTGTGTGTGTGGGATGCGTGATCATGGGTGCCCTTTTTGCATTGCTTTGCATTGTTTTGGATTGAGTGGCTTTGCCTCTACGACTGCTCGACTACTGGTGCTTGTTTACTCCTAGTGTGGCCAAAGGGGAAGGGGCATGGGTGGTGGTGGTGGTGGTGATGGCAAGACGGTCTGGGTTGGTAACAGCAGCAGCAGCAGCAGCTACACCTCCAGCTCAGTGTCACATGTAAATCAACTCAAGCATCAATATACGGATAAGCCAGCTCGCATGTGAACCAACACGTGTGCACAGTTGTACTTGCAAGCAAGCAAAAGGGATGGACATGTCATCACGCGAGGCCTGTGTGCTGTGAGCGGAGCGTGTTGCGGACGTGTGCTGGCAGGTTAGGCAGGTCCGGGTTGAGCCCAAGTGCAGATCGACACCACCGCAGCACCTGCAGATACTCGGGGAAGCTCTGTGTCGCGTGTCGTGTGTCGCGTGTGTCGCGTGTGTGCGGTTGTGTGTGTGTGTGTGTCGATGAGAGGGACATACAATGTAGAGTGTACGCAAATGACAACAAACGACAACAACATGCAAGCAAGCATGCATGCATGCATTCATCGCAATGCTTCCAGGCATGGAGACACGCACGTGGAGGGGCAGGTTGTGGTGGTCGGCTGCTTGCATGTCGCTCAGCTGCACCTCATCCACATGCGACAACAGCCCGGCCTTCTTCACCCCTGCAGGTGCGTCACGAAATCCGGGGGGGGGGAGGTGCACATTGGTGATGGCGATGGTGATGGCGGTACCGGTGGTGGTGGTGGTTGAGGTTGAACAAACGTGCACGTAAGCGATGCGTGTGGCGGTTGTGTGAGGAGGAATACTATAATGGAGCTGGTAGCAGTTGCAACCAACCAACCAACACACACACACAGACACACACACACACACAGACACACACACAGACACAGACACAGACACACACACACACACACACACACACACACACACACACAGAGACACAGACACAGACACACACACACACACACGGGTTGTCTTCACAGCACATGCCTTCGTGCTTCATGTGTGCAGTGAAGAGATGATGAGCATGGCACACATGCACTCACGCGCCCGAGAGACGCGACGTACCCAGGTGCGCGGACGACTTATGGTAAGGGATAATCTTGTCGTCGGTGTGGAACACAACAAGCTTGCTGCCGCTGATGCCCCGCAGCGCTTCGACCACATCCAGGCGGCCTGGTCATTATGTCGTCGGTGGCGGTGATGGAGGTGGTGGGAAGAGTGTTAGACGACGGAAAGCGAGGTGAAAGGGTGAGGGGTGAAGTGGATGACGGGTGGTCTGGTACACGCATATCCCTCCAGGCAAAGGGAACGATGTGAAAGAAGGAGTCAGAGGTGGTGGTGGCGGCGGTGTCGGGTAGAACACAGCCCAAGACACACGCACAGCAATACAGACACAGTCACAGATGCAGGGATGCAGAGACAAAGACACACACACACACACACACACAGACAGATACACACACACGCACACACACACACACACACACACACACACACACACACACACACACCAGACACGTAACTCATCATCCAACACGGACCCTTGAAGATGGATGCGAGGAGGCCTGCGACGATGAAGGACGGGAGGGCGATGGACGAGCCAACAACATCTCGCAGGATCATGTTCAGCAGTGCACTCCCCGCTGCCGGCAGCGACGAAAACGAGCGCTCCACAACAACGGGGCCATGTGGCGAGTGGCACGCGCGAGCAACCGTCCCTATGGCGCCGCCGATGGAATGCCCAAAGACAACCACGTGCTCGGGCACCGCCCCCAACCGCTCATCCATGTACTTCAGGCACGACACGGCATCCTCAACAAGGTCAGCCGTGCACGTCACCTCGCCCTCGCTGCTGCCCACACCGCGGTAGTTGAACACAAACACGTTCAGGCCCGACTCCAAACCAATGGCCCGCAGCTCATGCAGCACAAGCTCAAATGCCTCACCGTTGCCCAGGAGCCACATCAGCCAGCGCTGCTCGCTGGGCGGCGCGTCGCTCTGTGCTGGCGAGCAATACACGGCAGCGTCAATCCGCACGCCACGCCTCACCACCACCGTCACGTTCGTCCACGTGTCAACGGGTGCACGATGGGCGCTACTGTTGCCGGCTGCTGATGCTGCTGCTGATGCTGATGATAACGACGACGATGACGCCGATGTTGCTGGTGCTGTTGCCTCGACATCTTGCGGAGTGTGGAAGTAGCGGAGGCGACAGCGGCGAAAGGCTTCCTGCATTTGCACGCGGCGCCCGCCACTCGTGACAATCTGCTGGGACATCAGCGTCGTGGCCGGCAGAATCAGCATCTCCAGCACCTGCAAGCAAGCACGTTGGTTTGGGTTGTTGGTGTTGGTGGCGCAATGCGTGTGTGTGTGTGTGTGTGTGTGTGTGTGTGTGTGTGTGTGTGTGTGTGTGTGTGTGTGTGTGTGTGTGTGTGTGTGTGTGTGTGTGTGTGTGTGTGTGTGTGTTGTGGGGGTTGAGCGGTGGACGAGCCAGCAGGTAAGAAGGCAGGGAGGTGGGTGCATGTTCCTTGGTGAAGCAGACAAGACACCGACAACATGGATGCAGACACAACGATCGCGTCACACATGTGCACACAAACACAGACATACACAGGCACACAGACACACTTTGCGCCCGATGAAGTTGCGTGCGAGCTCGCCGACAAACGCAGCGATGAGGAAGAGAACAAAGGCAATGATCCAAATGAGCACGGCGACGAAGGTGGACAGCGCGTGAATGCCGTAGTATGCGCTGAGGAAGATGGTCATGACCATTGCTGTCGCTACAAGCCGTAGCTTCCGGCTCTGACAAGGAGGGATGACGGTGTAGGATGTCAGCATCGAGGAGAGGACAAGCTAGGCGGACAGACACGCTGCGGAAGAAACATACACAAACACAGACACACACACACACGCAGACACACACACACACACAGACACACAGACACAGACACACAGACACACAGACACAGACACACGGGCACACAGACACACACAGACACAAACACACACGCACCTTTGCAGAGGTGCCGGCGCTAATGTCAGGAAAGTACTGGAGTGGAACGACGACAAGGATGGCCATGATGATGTTGAGGACCGCCATGACAAGCAGCACGGTAAAGGCAGCCCAGAAGAAGGTGACGGGAAGACCCAGGAAGGCAATTGCCACCGCGCCCGCGGCCGACAGATGCTGCTTGCACAGGACGAGGATCAGGGCACATGCGACGAAGAAGGCGATGCTGACAGCTGCGTCTCGCCTGCTTTCGAGCTGGCGAGCGTGTGCGATTGGGTCCTTGGGCCGCTTTGAGCTGTTGCTGCCCGTGAGCATGGTCGGCAGCAGCAGCCGTGTCGCATCGTCCGAGCTGCCGTTGGTCGCCAGCCCTCCGGCCGCGCTGCTGCTTGAGCGCGGCGGCGGAGACGACGACGTCATCGTCTCGTCCCCTTCAGCAACCTGCCGTTACCGCGGGGGTTCCAAGGGGTGCTGGTGGCAGTGGTGGTGCTGGAGCTGACGGTGTTGGGAGCGGTGCAGTACGCTTTGCACTCGCAGACCTTAGCACTGTTCTACTTTTGGGTGGGTGGTCGTTGCATAAACGTTGGTTGCAAGCTCGTTGTGATTGCTGGTTGTTTTGTTTGTTTGGATTGGAGCCCAAGACCAACCACAGCCAGCAGGAGGAGCAGGGGGCAAACAACACGCACGCAGACACACGTACGCACGCACGCAGACGCAGACGCAGACGCAAACACTGGAAAGAGAGGAAGGATGCCGGGGAGCAAAAGCAGTGGCGCCGCCGTGCATGTGCGGTGCCTTGACTGTGTTGGCATTGGAACAGCCAACCTCTCTGCAACGATTGCCTTCTTGGAGCAAGTGCTTGGCATGGAACACAAGTTCAAGGACTCGCTACACTTTGGCAGAGGTATGCGCTATGTGCGAGCACGCATGTGTGTGTGTGTGCTTGTGCTTGTGTGTGTGCTTGTGCTTGTGTGTGTATTTATGAGTGAGCGTGTGCTTGTATGCGTGCGTGTGCTTGTATGCGTGCGTGTGCTTGTATGCGTGCGTGCGTGTGTGTGTATGAGTGTGCGGGTTGTGCGCAATAACCTATCCTTGTGTCTCACCCATCCTTCTCACACTCTCACGTGTGCTACACGTGTAACCGCTTTCGTCGATGCACTTTGTAGATCCGGCGTATGTGGTCGCGCCAGGCAACAACAGCGCCGTTGCATTGTGCCCCTCGTCCAGCAGAGACCTCAAGTTCATCGCGTTTCGCGTCTCAGAGCAAGGCTTTGAGCGTGCAAGGTGACATTTGAACTGTTATGTCGACCTGCGTCACGCTGTGTGCTTTGGGGGAGGGGCAAGGGGGGGGGGTCTGCAGACCCCTGGGCCGTCCTCTCCATCCCTTGCTCACTGTGAAACAACTGTGTTTTGGGCCGTGGCATACACACATGCACACACAGGAACGTACTGAGGCAGAAGCAGATTGAGTTCCGGGTGAAGGACATTGGCCTTCGACGTGCTCTCTATTTCCGCGACCCCATCAACGGATACGACATGATGGTGTGTGCATGTGTGTGTGTGTGTGTGTGTGTGTGTGTGTGTGTGTGTGTGTGTGTGTGCTGTATCTGTCGCGCTTAACCAGAATCTGCTGTTGTCTGCTGTTGTGTTTCTCTTTGATTGCTCACACCATCCACTCGCCCATTCATGCCACCCTCCCGCTCTCTTCTTGATCTCCGATGGTAGCTGACGTGTTGGCCTGTCGCCGCTTCCTCACACGCCACGAAACAAGTGAGCCAGTCACCAGCGCCAGCTTTTCTTTGTCTTGTTTGCATGTTTCTCTCGTCGGTGTTGCCAGTGGGGACAGACACACAGACACACAGACACAGACACACAGACACAGACACACAGACACAGACACAGACACACAGACACACACACAGACACACACACACACACACACACACACACACACACACACACACACACACACACACACACACACACACACACACACACACACACACACACACACACACACACACACAGATCCTGCCCGGACTGACAGTCCTTCCTCAACTTTCTTCCATTACTCCCCCCCCCCTCCC